GTATGACCACTCTAAACCTAAAAAGTTCTTGGGGTTTTGTGGAAAATTACATCTTTGCCTACCATTTTTACTGGTGGATTACCAATGATGTGCTTCAAGGGGAATGTATAATATGTGGGGTGTGGTGGGGGCAGAGGAAAAGTACTAAACTTTTCTGCATTACTGAAAGCCCTGCATTTTGGGTTCTTTTCAAACTAGCTTAAAATATACATTTTTAATTGACCATACTTTTTAAAAATATAACTTTAAAAACTTTGGTCTCTCTCTTTTTTTTTTTTTTTTTTTTAAATGAATGAGTAAAAGCTTCCCAATCACATGTCCAGTTTTCTCCTCCTCCAAAAGAAACTCATCTTAAAAAAAAAAAAAAAGTGAAAGGTTTTCGTTTTTTGCTTTATTTTAAGTGTATTCCCATCGTAGAAAACTCCATAACTTGGTGGCAAAAGTGAGTTAGAATTGTTCTGAAAAGTCTTTTGTTCACTTTTAACATTTTGCTTCATTTAACATCATCGCCAAGATACAGATTAAACACTCCAAGTCCTCTGGTAAGCGCTCAGTTGAAAAGTTACAAAGATATATAGAATAGCTCATAATCTATGATTTCCTATTTGTATGGTGAAAATATTTAGGGGTTTACTACGGCAAGAATCTGAAAAACAGAAGAATCAAGTGGGGTGGAAGTGGGGCAAGGACAGGAAAGGTGTGTGGGGGGGATGCTTTCCTTACCCAGAGCACAAAGATTACATTGGGGGGATGCAGGAATATGCACTACTGATTGAGACTCTTTAAAGCTCTCCTGGCTAGAGGCTTCTGACCAAGCTGAAAACTGCCGTGGTTCCGATTCAATACGACCAGGGTGTAGAAAAGGTCTGCAGAGGTATCTGCATGCCCTGATGTAGCAGAAGGCGACTATATTAATAATGCATGAATTTCTGCAAAGGACCAAGTGTTAAATGCATTTGAGTATGAAGTGAGCTACTATGACACTAGGAACAGAACAGAGTGATAGCAGAATGGGAAAGAGGAGGAAGATATAAACGGTCATTCAGTGAATCCACTCCTCCAAGCATCACCTAGTGGCTGTAGGTTTAATGAGTGATTGTAAGACCTTTGGAAAAAAGGCAGGATCTCGCACATTCTGTTCATTTCTAATCTTTGCATAAGGTGCAAAGATTTTGGAAAAAAAAAAAATCTCACAACTTTTGATGTTACTATACTCCACTAAAGTTTCGAACTTGACGTTTTCAACCAAGTATACTGCTTGCAAATGATAAAACTAAGCTTTCCGCTGCACTTCCAAAATCCCACCTCAAATGGATATCGACCACGAACTTGACATCTGATCTATCTTTATAAACATTTTGCAAGCCGTTACACATACTACTACTGCGTATTCCCAGGAAAGTTTTAGTTTTTCCATATTTCTCTTTTTTTAAACAAATAATTCATTATTATTGGAAAGTCCCAAATAAACAAGGGAAAAACAGCAAAATGGATAATTGCAAAGTGATGTGCTATACACAAGCTGGAAGGAAGGGGAAAAATGATAAAAGACCTCTCCCCTTAAATTCTCAGCTATACAATTACCTTAAGGTGTTAGAAGTGCAGGAAAAACTATTTTCAAGTGGACAATCTCCCTTTAAGTTACATTAAGACTCTAAAGCACAAACTGGGTGCTTCTACACAAGTTGTTTACTGCACAATGGACTAGTTAGCTGTGCAGTAAATGTCTCAGCATCTACACATGTACCTCTATTAGGCTGGAGTAAAACAATTTATTCCATAGCAGGATACTTGTAAATATAAGTACTATCCTGTTGCAGAGTAAAGACATCACAGCAGCACATATGCTGGTGGGTCTGGCTGGGGCATAAAGGTGCTTTCATGTGGGGGCTGCCTGCTGGCTAGCCCTGTGCTGAGACACCTTCATGCCCCAGGCAGCCTCTTGCAGCAAGCTGAACAGGGGGAGAGCAGCCACATGCCGGCAAAATGACCTCCACAACCCCTTGCTAGTCAGGGCTGCTCCACCTCAGCTCAATACGCTGAGCATGAATAAACTGCGGAGCTTATTGCTTTAGGGTTAATTGCTCCCAGGTGCACGTTCAAACAGCATGCCCAGAAGCAATTAACTCCAGAGCAACAAGTTCCACAGTTTATTCATGTGCCATAATTGCATGTGTAGATATGCCCACTGAAGTCTAGTCCTCTTCAGACTTTTTAAGCTCATGCATAAGTGCTAATCCTGATACGTGAGGTTTCTTGAATCACAGTGTAGGCTATTTATCTGTTCAGAGTCCTTTTTATCCAACTATAAGCAAGCTAGCATATGCTCAGTCGCACAATAGATTTTAGGTTTCTTTCTTTAAATAAGAAAATTGACAAGCAATGATTAGTTCACATGCACACAACCCTAATGTAAAACATATCAATACAGGATCAAATTTGTAGGAAATAAATCCAAGAGTAACTTTTTAAATTACAATCTAATTTACTCAGCCCAACAGTGCAGCCAGAATGTGCCTTTGTCCTATACATCGTTTTTCAGGTTAAAAAAAATAACAGTTCCAACATTTCAGAATAATGCAACTGTGTTGTAGAAGACCAACTGTTTCTCATGAAATGGTGCATTTCCACCCCTTTCACCACCGCCCTTAAAGGCCTCTGAAGTCAGGTGCAGCAAGAAAACACTTGCTCACAACTCCATCAGGAAAAATACTGTGAAAGTCAGAGAATGGATTTAAAAGAACGATAAACATTCCAATTTAATGCTGCAAGACTTAGATGTGCGCCAAATATATCATGAATGCTTCAAAGAAAATTGGAATATACTGTCCAAATGGTATCTATTTACAACTCATACTATATAGCTGGCTTGCTTTTTCTACATTAAAACTATTAGAATGAAAACAAGGTATTTGTTTCTTTTGCAGTTCACTTGTTCTTGTTGTTTATTCCTCATTGGAAGGCACGACTGGCATCAGAATTCTAAGAATAATTTAACAGACACAGAGAATATTTGCTTACCTTGCTAAACTTGGGATCTACAATTTTTGACTCTTTTAAAGTTTTAATGCCAACTCAAAATGGTTAGTCTCTCATTCAAACTTAATTCGCTATGGACAATAATCACAGGAAATGTACAAAAAGTCTTAAAAAAAAAAAATCAGTACTCTATTTACTGAGGATGATGCGCAGAGCTGACCCAAGCAGGGTGCAGGGCCCTGGGGAAATCAGCTTATGCAGGGCCCTGCCCGCACTCTGATCCCACAGCCCCGGACCTGAAGCTGCTGCTGCTGCTACTGCAGCAGCAGCAGGGGGGCGGGGTGCACAGCAGCGGGCAGCTGTATACGGAGCCCCAAAAGTGCAGGGCCTGGGGCAGTTGCACCAATTCACCTTGCCCTAAGGACAAACCTGATTATGCCAATTTTCACAAGAGAGAATTTGTTTTTAATCTTAGTGTATACACCATATTGCAAATAACAATCCATTCTATTTCTTACATTTTTAAAACGTAAAAGTAGTTAATACCCATTATCAAAACAAGCAACAGATGAGGCCACCCTTAAAGAGTCAGATTATAGTTGCAGGAAGAACAGATTTATTTTTTATTTTAGAAATTAATTATCCACTATCAACCCTAGTCTCTGCATCTCTCTGTTTCAAATAAGTCAAGGTACAAAAATAGAAATTGAGAATATACAACCCTTCTCCTCCTCTCCACATAAATGCTTTTTGTTTTTGTTTTAAGAGTGGCCTTATCCCCAAAAAAATCTTAATCTAGTTTAAAAGCAAATTTAGACAAATGTAAACTCACTTGCTTGCCAATTCACCCCCTGGCGGGAGGTTTGGGATGCTCTCAGTTGCTAACGTGCGCATCACATGGACTAAGTCCGGTACGCCTTCACCCTGCTTCTTTATGATCTCTGAGAATCAGAAGTACTTTTTGTAAGTGCAGTCTAAATTTAACTTAAAAAGACATGTTTAAACTGACTTTTATCAAAAAGCAGCCTAGCATTTTTTTAAAACAACATTTATCATGTTCAACATCATAAACTTACTTTTGTGCCACAACAGAAAAATAAATTTATTCTGTAAAAATGTGTCATGCATTTGGGGGGAAAAATACCAACTAGAATTTCTTATCTTGCAGATCAAGTCAATTATGCTTCTGTAAATACACAATATGCTATCAAAATGATAGCTAGACAACAAAGGTCATTTTAACGGGCTCCCCTGGCATATTATGTATTGCACTGTTCCAGTGAAACATATGGAACAAAAAGCAGGTTTTAAATAATGTCACTTTTTATCATCTAGAATACATTAGAAGATTAGTGTCATCGTAGAATGCATGATATGTTAAAGAAACAAGAGAAACACTTTATAACTACTTGAATGTGCAGTATTACAAACATTAAAAACAATGTTTAAACTAACAAGACCCAAGAATGTCAAAGTTAAGACAACTCCATCGCTGACTCATTTAAAGGATATTTGGACTGTGGGCTATAAATACCCAATTCAACTTTACCTAGGTAAATAAGAGAATATCTACTGCAGCAACAGCACAGTTGGCTATGAATGAAGTTATAAAATGCTAAAATCTAACCATGATTTTCTGAAGTAGTGAACACCTACAACTTATGCTGAATTTAGAGAAGCCATTAGAGCTCTTATCAAGCCTTGAAAAAGCAAGTCAGGTCTCGTCAGTTTTCCGATTTACCTATTTTTAAAAAAATCTTACAAAATAAGAACTGTCAACTACACCGTCATGTGTAAATATTCAAGTCTAAACTAGCAAGTCTTCAAGAAGTATATTTATTGGTTAGACTTGAAACTGCTGATCTTCAAGTGCATATTATAGCATGTATAATATCTGCATATGCAGTATTTTGTATTTAGTAAAAATCTTGACAAAAATGTGAAAAGTAGTTCACTGGAACAAGTGGAACATCCACTTTCCAAAACTAGATATATGGAATAAAGCACCGGTTTCCAAGTTTCATTTTTGTAACTTAAGTGAGAGAGTTAAAACACACTAAAGTTTCTGAGATCAGTATATTGATACACTGGTGAACTGATTGGTGTGCAGAACAGTTTTCCAGGCTCCAATATTCTGTAAAAAACCCAACTTCATAACATTTTGAAGTTGAACCCTTGCAAACAATATACAGTAGAAAGTTATAACCAGTGTCAAAATTCACAGCACAAACATTAGCTGTTAATTCTAAACCTACATTGTGAATACAAAAGGAATACAGGTTTTTACATACCACACATTAGGCAAACATCTCAAAGTGTGCCATTTTTTTCAAGACCTATGGTTAAAATTCATGCTTTGCCATCTAGCATTTGCTAAAAATAAGTCTAACACTGTTAATCTGAATAAAAAGCAAAGATCTCAGATTTGGTTTGCCAAGTTCCTTTATTGTGTAATCTTGAACATCTAGCATATTCTACATTGCTCTAAAACTAAAGTTCTGCTTTACAAAAATAAGGGATTATCGCTTGCCTAAACTACACAGTTTCACAACCTACAACTGTAGTACATTTAACATACAATCTCCACTAAATTAATACATTTATACTTTGATATAGGTACAGTCTGAATGAACACTGATGACACAATAAATGGAGCCAATGTCCTGGCTTTTTTTAAGTTACTGAATTAATTGTTATTTCAATACATCTTGTACTCTCCTTCTCTTTAACCTAGTTTAAGCCCTCTACATGGTTTTATCATGTAAAATAATGGAAAAATATACTTGTAATCCTAAAATAAAGAATTCCAAACATACCTACTTATTTTCTACTTTGAATGGCATTTTCATATATAATTCTAAATAAAATTAAAAATTTCAGAATTTGATTAAAAATAAGGAATTTAAAGCAACTAATTTAAGATTCTGCATTTCAATTAGCTCCTTGGAATACATATTTAATCATCAGATTTGTTATGGCCTTTATTATGTATGTTTAACAAAACTGGTTTTAAAGTGGAACAAAAACCCCTTTAAGTCATGTTACTTCAAAAAGAAAGAATTAAGACATCTCAGTAAATGGAGTTTTAGTGCAATCAAAAGTACTATATTTTGGAATGACTTCTTAGACAATTCTTCTCAGATTATCATCAAATCCTTAAAAACATTTTAAAGCAACACTAATTTACTAGAACACGACAAAGTGATTTTAGACTTATTTCACCTCCAGACATTTATTTGACCCTCCAGAAGCGAGCCATGGAAAATGTCTCAAAACTGACAAAAAAAAATAGACTGAAGGAGTGAAAAGCAGTCCAGTATAGTGGGATGTGGATAACGTTTATATTTATTAGTCCATTAAAAAAAATATTTCCTTTTGTTGTTCAAAATGGCCACGGTCAACCAAAAAAATACACATTACAGAATGCCTTTAACTTCATTACTTTCTGGACTTTGCTGGTCAAGATACATATTTCATAATGCAGTTATTATGCACTATATTTCTAGCAAGTAAATATTTAGTGAGCTTAGTTTTCTAAATCACACAGACTAGTAAAAATACTTTTAGAATTTCTTTATATTTTATCATTTCTTCAGCTAATTTTGAGAGATTTTTAAAATGCTTAGTAACAGTGGTACTTCATACAGTTTAAAATAACAGCTGTAAAATTAATTCACTACAGCTCTGAAAGTTTCAGCAACGGTCATATCAGTCCTACCTCAGTAGATAGTATTACGTTTACAACATGAAACAAACTTAGTTGCATAAGACTGGTTCAGTTTAATATAACAATAAGGTAAATTTGCAGCTTTATCTTGCCATCCTCCCTTGTGTACAGTCCCATTAACTTCACTCACACAAGCGTCATCTCTCTTCACCGCCTACATACGATTTACACAAATCACTCAGGTTGCATTTTTTTTTATAAGCATTTGTAAGTCTAATTAATGCAGCTATGTGCAACATCAGAAGAAAAAAAATTAAGACCAATAAAGTGTGGACTCTAAAGGGAAGTAGCAATGTATTTTCTAGAACTGTCCACATTTTATCCTATTAAAATTAGGATTAAAGTGCTTTATATCTACATGAAAGTCTTTCTCCACACAAATATGATGTCTCCCTCATCCCTGAAATGCGGCATTTCTAAAAATGCAAGATACCAGCAATCAAATGCATTGTTCTATACAGGATAATCCCATTCTCCTCCAGCACTTAGGTTCTTCATTTACACATTAGGTTTGCCTTCCATGTATTGTCAGACATCTAGACAAGTTATGTCAGTTAAGAATGACACAGCCTTAACCTGAATAAACCTTGATCTTATAAAAAGCTCATCTACACAGTGGGTTAAGATGAATTAACTGAAAAGTGTGAAGTTAATGCACGTGAGTACATTAGCGTGTAGTAGGCTAGAATGTGAATTTATAGAACACTAGTTACTCTTCACTAACTTCTTCTGAAGCTGGCCCCTTGGGCAGCCAAAACAGGGAGATACGGGGGCCAGGAAGGAGAGCCACTCACTGGAATGTCTCCTCATCTCATTCTATCTTGGGCTCTAACTCCCAGTGAGATAGAAATGTCCACACTCTACTGCTCTCCATCCATTTTATACAATGGCTAAGAAATGTTCTGTTGCAGCCTGCACCTTCAGGAGGAGCAGAGAGGGGAAAGGATAATGCCTAACTTGTGGTGTGCTGATTAGCAGTGTGCTCAAATCAGAGATGCAGGTTCCAACCACCCTTGGGTGAGGGGTGCCTAGAATCGAGGTCTCATTTCCTGCAAGTGTCCTAACGACTCAGCTATTGGAGCTAGGACACTGAAGGCCCCTGTTCCTCCTCATTTTTCTGCCCCCCTCAGACACGAGCCAGATATGCATGTACATGCTCAGCATGCTTGTGTCGACAGTGTGTATACTGCCATTACTACCCACTAACACAGCTTTGGTATTGTGTCCTGATACTCAAAATGTCCATGGGAGTTAGTGTAGAGCAACCAGCAGGCTAACTACATATTCAGTTCCCCATCATGTAGACACCATGTCAAAGTGCACTTACACCATAAGTGGACACACATACAGAAATGGAGCAGCCTCAATCTACTTGACTTTTCAGAATTAAGCAGCAACAAAATTTAAAGCCACTCTGATTTTGTGTGAACGTCCATTACAGGAGTTGGTGTACTCTGAACTTGTACACTAACTGCAACTTTAGTTAAACCATCTTAACTCCAGCCGTTCCCATATTGGCAAGACTTTTGTGAAATCTCCAAAGTTGAGATTTTTATTGTTAGTGTCACACAGTGAAAAAGGAAAAGTGCACAGAGCATTCATAAATTTCAATCATTGACGTGATAGTTCTGCAAGAACTCTGCATATCATGCCAATGCATGCTACTAAGGACTGTTAGCTTGCATAGTAATACAACAGATTCATAATGACAAAATCATTACAAATCTATTTTTTAAATACTGTTTAATCTAGAAGTGAAGCTGAATGTATATGTTATGTATATTTTTGATATTTTAGAAACCTTAAGCATTTTCATGATATCCACGCTTCAAACCTGATCTCTGCTTGTTTCAATTTTTAATTTGATTATTAAAACCTTTTCAATCATGTCTTAATGCCACCATTGCTAGTAATGGCAATCTGTTTCTTCTACAATTTTAACACTCAAAACCAATCTGATTTTTAAAAAGTTACTGTCAAGTGAGATATTACATGCCCAGCTTCAGTTCAGCATGATTGTTTAGCTATAATACTGAAATGCTGCACTTTATAGTCGTATTAGAGGCAATATTACAATTACATTATTCAAAACTATGACCCTTCAATTACACGATATACTAATTAGGGCCAAAGTGTGCAACTGTACATGGCTTTACAGAAACAGAATATTCAAACTGCCATCTTAATATTATACCAGATTTCATTTAACTACATAGGACAGAAACCAGATTTTACCAGCCTGAAGTTATTGCTGCTAAGGGTCCCATGAAGCACAAATGGATTACTTTGTCCTACCACGCGGAACAGAATTTCCAGGGTCATGAACTGCTTGCTGCCTTTTTAGCAGCATTTTGTCAGGACATACAGTATACATCCACAGGACTACACAAGGGCATTTTCCGAGATGTACACTAGATGTCCGATGGCACACAAAGGTTTAATAAAAAGCATATATATAAGAGTTTAGTTGCTTGGGGGTTTGTTTAGAAACAAAGTTACTTATTTTTGTGTAAATGATCCACCTTCTACTCTGCTTTCCAGGTACTTGTCCAACTCTGTCTCTCTCTTCACTGCCTCTGGCAATACCTTTGGTGCATTTGGAAAACAGATCAATATCACGCTCATGTTGTCTCGACTTCCCTAGTGGGGAAGAAAAAACAAAACATTTTTTTTTTAGATAATATGCTGTATTCCAGACACTATGTATGCACATACATTGATTTTATCTCAAGTCCATATCAAATCAGTTTACATATTAAAGTTTATTGTGTAAGCACTTCCGCTCGTCATGCTATTTAAACACGAAAAAGCTCTCTTACAATCACCATTCCAGAAATCTGCATGTTGAGAATCATTCAGCACATATTTTTCAAAATGTATACAAAGCCAAAAGTTCTAAGGGTGACCTTTATAACGAACCTAGAATTGATGCTTCGTTTGGCTGAAAACTGACCTTATCTGCAAGACGGACATTGTGGGAAATGAGATGAGACTGCAAAACCAGTTTTCATCTTGCTTTAGCATCTTATTGTTTAGAGGCTAATATTAAACGTTAATTGTTCAAACATCAAATGAGTAAACAGGAACAGTAAGGATATTTAAAGCCACTTACAAAACAAACTGCTCACCATCTCTGACACTACTGCTCATCTACAAATGCTGCTATTATCAAATGGGTCTTCCCTATAAATGATTGTTTCTTGTGACCAGAGCCAACAAAAGGCTCAAATGATATTATCAAGTGACACAAACATCTTTATCTAAACATGAGAATGCTTCTCACCATGCAAACCTTTAGAATACAAGTGAGCAAACTGAAGACAACTTGTAGAAAATACTTGAATACCATACTGCAGGTCCATGATCTAGGCGCAAACTATCAAATATCTAATTCAAAGTATTTTTAACTGGTGAGGTCCTTGTTCTGCAGATACTTGGATACATGCTTAACTTTACCTGCAAGCAAACTGCTGGCGCCAGTCAGACTGCTCAAGTAAAGTTGAGCATGAACACATTTGCAAGAATGGTGCCCATATGACACTCGTACTGAGAGAAGCACAAGGTCCCTGCAAGTAGGCATGACTTTGAGCAGTGCTTACATTTTCCAGAGCTGAAATTACAAGTGAGCACATAAAGCTTTACTTTAAGATGTTAGAAACTATTAGCTAGTTAACATGGTTATAGTTAACTTTCTCTCAAGAACATGGTGTCAATGCCAAGGTTGTTATCTTGCCTTTACTTGCCACCTCCCCACAAATATAAAAGCTCCATTGTATCAATATATATGATTAACTACTTGTCCAGGGAAAGGAAGCTACACCTATAAGAATATCATTTAACATACCCACTTTTCATTTTATCAAAAAACCTTCAAAATGCTGACACTATACATGGAAAACATTCAAACTTGGCATCTGTTAGTAACTGTACAAGTTAATAATATGAAAAAAGCTGGTTGACAGCTAAAGGCCATAACAAAGAAGTGTTAACAGGAGAAAAAAATTCTCTGTGCAGAAATGAAATTTTATAAAGAAGTTTTTTGTTTTTTAAAAAATAAAAAAAGATCATAAGAGATTTTGGCCAAATATTTGAAAATTTTAAATTTTAGAAAAATCAATTATTTCACAATGATCTTGGCAAAATCAAGCCCGCAGCTGTTTTATTTTCCAATGTCAGAAAATGAAGAAAAATCAGGATTTCATGTCTGCCTCTTATCTACTTCCCGTAAGGTCTATTTTCCCATTCATCTGAAAAACATAATTTCCACTTAGTTACTTCACCTTTGTGATAGTGGTACTGTGATATAAAGTCACTCAGGGCACATCCACACTGCAAAATCATCATGGCAAGTATCACTGTCCTCAAAACATGGTGCTGTTTTGTGATGGCTACCCCATGATCCAAAGACAATGTACAGGCAACCCCCATTTAGCGCTCTTAATTGGTTCCTGAAAAACTAAGCATTAAGTGAAACCAAAAGCTTTTGACAACCCAAAATGGCAACTGCAAGTGTTTTTAATGACCCAAGATGGCAACCACAAGTGTTATAACAAAACTTGATGAGCGCCAAGTGGAATCAGGCATCAATTTAAAATGAGTGGTATAGCAAAATAGTACCAAGTGAAACAGCATTAAGCAGGGGTTGCCTGTACCTGAATGTGTGACACTGCCAGCAATACTAAGAGCCAGGGTCCATTCACATGACTACAATGCTGCAGGAATGCTGTTACGTTGCTTTCAAAATCAAAAGCAGTCTACACAGAGCAGCACAGCATGTTTGTGGCACTGCTGTCTACCATGTAAGCATGCAGCCTCCACAAAGCTGTTTGGATCAGACCCACTATTTCCAAAGCATATAAAAACAAGTGTGTTTCATACTTGAAAAAAAAAATAAAAGGGGTATTTATTTTTCCTGAAAGTTACTTCTTAAAACTGTCAGACAGCTTTCAATATGTCAGAGCACACAGCATATCTTTACATGAATTTGACTCTAGCTACTCAACAAAACTCAGTATGGAAGCCATGCTGGTCCAAGCTATATGCGCACTGCAATTCTTGGAAGTGACACAACTGTATCATACAGCTATTGTCACAACAGCGTATAGGTACCAAACTTCAGATACTCTACAGATTTGAACCAAGATTTACATTCATTTTGCTGATAATAGAGAAACTTCAACTACTGTAGTGAAAATATGCTTCTCCTCTTAAAATTCTGACTACCTTGTACAAGCAGGTGTCGACTATCTCATTGCAAACTTTCTCAAGGTCATCGGTTACTTCAAGTCTGGATCTTACAAAGTCACACAGCTCTTCATTTCCCATAACATCCCAGATACCATCACAAGCCAGTATGATGAACTGATCATCTTCTTCTGATCTCTCAATTTCATAAACTTCAGGCTCTGGCGACACAAGCTGCTCTGTGGGACCTTTCCCATGGACACATTTGTAATCAAAGTCCCCAAGTGCTCTTGACACAGCAAGAGAGCCATTAACACGCTGAATCATTACAGAGCCGCCTGCATTCTGTATACGCTCTTTCTCCAGTGGATTACTTGGTTTGTGATCTTGTGTGAAGAAATGAACCTTCCTGTTTCTACAAAGTAAACCTCTTGAGTCTCCACAGTTGATGAAGTAAGTGTGTTGGGGAGAAATCATGACACCCACAGCTGTTGATCCGCTTCTGTCTGCACCATGTTTCTTCTCAGAAATTACTCTCATATGTTCATCAATTTGCAGAAAACCTGTTCTGATTCCATTCTTTACACTCTCCACAGAAGGTGGTCCATCAGACCCTTTAAAATCCTGGTTGCTTGTGATGTGATCTAATAAATGCTCGCAGCAATATTTGGCCACCTGGGATCCAGCATGCCCATCATATACAGCAAAAAATGACCATCCGTCAAGTCCATTTGGCAAACCAATCACAGCTGTATGCGCATCCTCCATCTCGACTCGCCAACCCTGCATACTGCTTAGCCCATAACGAAGCCCATTACCCTGCCCTTGGGCATTATGTTTCTCCATCTTTGGCTTGTCTAAAAATGCTCCCATGATGAGTTGTTCTTTTAGCACTAATGGAAAAAAAAAAAAGAACATTGTTACTGAGCTATTTCTAGAAAACAAGTACCCATTTAAACGTGTCACTAGAAACTGTCAAATACAAAAAGTCCGGTTGAAATGTTATGATGAACAGAAAAAGGAAGAGAAAAAACAGCAAGAGAATTAAGGCTGGTTCCTAGTCCTTTCCATTATATAAAAGAGCGAGCTTATGTTCAAACACAAAAGTCAGCTTTAGCTCTGTACTACCTTCCTTTGCTTGCATTGTTTTAAGAGACTCAATATTAGCCAAAACAACTCCTCATTTTGTATGACTATTTAGTTCGTACCCTCCATTAACGGATTGCACTGTACTAATAATTTGTATTTTTTCCATCAAGCATGATGAACCACTGTTCAAGCCATTTAATTAGCACACATCTTAGATTCTTAGTTGTACTAGATGGAAAGCATCTCAGACTCTTATATTGTGGTCCATATTTATTTAAAACTTCAAACTTTTTATGCATTTAAAACTTCTGTGAGGACTACTGCCCTTGACATCTTTGAAGAAATCCGTTTAGAAATAATTACAGGTATCAGACATTCATATTTTATAAAGAAGCAGGGATTTTTTTTTCCATTAGTATTTCTTAGTCATATGTAGGTACAGAGTACTGTATATATAGCATACCATATACACACAGAGGCCAAGAAACAATGGATTCACACACACAACTACGTATGCACCCATGCATGTACCCAAACAGAGCATTATACTTTAGACAGTATAAACCGACAGGTTTATTCTCTCACACGTTAGATGTCCATCCCATCCTTTTGATCCCTATTAGTCTGTGCAGTCATTCAAACATCCAAAACAGACAAAATTTTACATGGTCAAAAATTCTGCATTGTTCAGCCTGTGTAAGCCCTTGTTGTTTAAACACAAGGTAATAAAAGACCTGCAAACCTATTCTGTTTGTGGACTAACAGACTAGCAATACAACCGACTGTGAGAAGGCCAGAACTATTTTCTGGTCCAGTCCCAAACTAGACTGCTACAATGGCAGAATTTATCACGTTTGCAAGGGATATACATCTATCTAAAGAACCGATCCATTGTGTATAAACAACAGTGCCACTTTGTTAGTGTAGTTCCTGAACTAACTGCAGTGAGAAGGAATAAATTTCTCCCAGTAACCTTGCAAATTCTCTCTCACCTTCTGCCCATTTGAAAGCAAAACATGTACAGTCAAGGGCACACCACACAAGAGTATTTACATTTGATCTAACTGCAGCAGCACATTAAAACATATGCATAGTTGACTGAATATGCAGTATTCTGCTGATAGGCATTCAGTTGGACAGTCAATATTAAAAGTGCAACATTGTTGTTATTAACAGAACAAGTTAAAGTAAACTGTCAATTTGTAAATTAAATAGATTCTTATAGTAACTAATTATGGTTCACAAAGTGCAGCATACAGATACTGTCATTTGTGTGTTAATGGCATATCCAAAACATACATTAGGAAAGAATCACATTACAACTGCGGTGGAAAGCACATCCTTCTTTACTTAAATCAACTAAAACCCACTACTGGAATGGGACTGGCCCAAGCTCCAGTGATTTACACTGTGGTAGAATAACTCAAGGATAGAAATACTTCAGCGAAGATGTGAGATCATTTATTGCACTATAATGATCTTTGAATATTCTGAAATAAAAACACAGCAAGTGGAACTGAACTGAATAATTATTGCAAAGCTTTAATTCCAGACCTGTAACTGATTAATTGATTCGTATACTGCCTTTTCAAGTTCTGTAAAATATTTCTCCTTCCCATTTTGAAAAATTCAAACAAAAAGGGGAAAACTAGAAAATAAAACACAGTAAAAATGCCTATATAAAAATGCTGTCAAATGCAAAGTATGCAGACCAAACTTTTCCTCATGATCTCGGGAATTAACTTCTAATTGGA